GGTGGATCCCCTGAGCCCTCCTGTTTCTCCCTGACAGATCTTGAAAGACACACAGCCTCTCAGGCCTCACTTTCTGCATGAGAAGTTTTAAAGATCCCTCAATCCTTAATGTCCTGCCACCTAACACATGCTCTGATAGAGAAAAAAATCTAATGAGCCATGTTTTTCTCCCTATTTCTTCCATTCCCTTGCCTCCATCCACATAAGGCAGTTAATTCTGGCAAAAGACCACTTCTTACTTCACCTCCCTACTCCAGATGCTTTTGATCAGATTCTGAAAAACCCAGAACTGGTTGGCTAAATCCTTTGGAGAATGTAGAAGACATACAGATAAACTGTTCAGATGCCTTTTAAGGTGTGGTCATGGTTACAGTGCCTTTATCTAGGTGGGCCTGTCTGCTCCTATCTAACACAGTTGTCTCTGAACAGGGAGGTTTGCTCCTGAGGGCCAATTGCACTGGAAGAAACTCTGTTAGGCTGCAGCTCCTGGCAGAATTCTACTTCCTCCATTTTTTATCACAGGTGTTACTTCTCTCTAGTACAACCAGAATCTAAGTCTGAGGACACAGAAATGCTAATCATTCTAACACAAAAGTCCTAATGTTTGTCTGTTTTTCTAAAAAGGATCTTCAACAAGCTTCAGGAAACCCATCTTTGAGCAAAAAAAAAATACTCATCTTCATAGCAGAACTATCTAGAGTATAGATTTCTTTTCAAGTTTATTATTTCCAGACACTGTGGATGAAAAAGGAGCCACATACTAAACCTGACAAGCTCAGGGGAGGCCTGCATAGTGGCCTTACAAACTCAGAGACCTAAAGTAACCACATAAGATGATCTGAAATTAAAACTTTAACTAAAAGCAGTTCATGGTTGGTAGATATGTCCTAGGGCAGTATTTTTCCTTAACAAAGGTCAATCTTTACCTTAACTGAGCCTGTCTGTTTACATCTAAGATAACACACCTGATAACATTACCTTTGGAATATCAAAGTAATTTCCTTTTTTCCAGACCCCTCAAAGCACAACCACCACACCAGAGCAGAAGCCACAAATTCCCTCACAGCTATTATTATCATGTTAATTATTAACTGTTAACTATCCCACACCTACCTATGTAAAAAAGCATGTCTATTCCAATCCCAGAGCTTTCCCCAATTTGCTTTCTCCTGCCTGCCTAATCTATCACCAATAGATTTCATGTAACCCCCTTACACCTTCTTTTCTATTGTAATGTAGAAATAAAGTGCCAGGTTGCCATTCTCTGGAGCATTTTCTCAATCCATTGAAATTTTGCTTCCTTGCAATTGTCATCATTTTGGCTCAAATAAACTCATAAAAATTTTCACAAGTTTGGACATTTCTTACACACATAAAGGCTTAGATCCCATCAGTTTATCCAGTGGTTCTCAACCAGGGGTGCAGATAAGAATCACCACAGAGAATTTTTCAATATGTGAATGCCCAGCTCCACATATAAAGCTATATTTGTTGGTTTGAGATATACCACTGGTTTTAGCATTAAGTTTTCCTAATTTGGGTCTCTTCCAGAGATGAGCATTCATCCTGCTAAGGATCATTCCAGAAGTTGAAAGATAGTATTCTACACTTAATGGTCAAATAAATGATCCCTAGTTTATCTCCAAATATTTTTATAAGTCCAGCTAGTAATGTTGTAGACTCATTTCAGAGCATGGTGAATCTTCTTAGAAAGTATTATAGAAAGGTGAAGAAAACCTTGGGATCAGTTTCAATTTTGAAGATTTAAGCAAAAAACACAAAAGTTATAGGGCTGTAAGATTTCCTTTATCATGCAGAGTTAGGGTCAAGGAGTTTTGCGTTGACTTTTCATGGAAACTGGAAATAAGTTAGCTATGCTGTGTCCCTTCAAGTTTCCAGTGTTATCATTGTGCAAGTGATAATGTAAGTAACCTGGTTATTAATAAAGAACAAGGGGAAGCTGCAATTTAGATGCCTGCCTAGTAAAGTCTGGATGAATTGGGAGTAGTACATGTCTGTCAGTCACACCTGGTAATAGGTCATTGCCAGAGTAGGCATGGCCATTGCAAGTGTGGGAAGTTTTGACATACTTAAGCTCCTAAAAAAGAGTTCCCTCTCTTGCATGCTGGGCTCCTGGCTCTCTTGTTGCAGGGGAGGCACTCCCCTGCATTCACCCACATAGCTCATGGCCATATGGACCCCACACAATGGACTGATGGACTGTGAATAGCCTGATGCTCTGCCAGACCCAGCTCCCCATGGAGTGGAGACTTTGGATGCTGACTTTGCTTTTAACTCTGCTTAATCCCCAACTGCACCTCTTCCAGGACTAGTTTAAGGGAAATGAGACTTTGCAGACTGAAGGATGTAATTCCATGCAAATAAAGCTTTCTACCACATTTCATCCTCCCATGGGGGCCTCCAGAAATGCTTATTCTAATGGTACCCCAAGAATCTCACTTTCAATGGAGAAATACCACCCGTCCATTTCTTTAATAGCACAAGGAGTTGTGGTTATGCTCCGATTTCACAAACTACATCCTTTGAAAGCATCAGTTGCAATCTGTCTTCTCTCTCCCATTAATCTGGAAGAGATCACTCACATAAATTTCCAGGTATAGTTTGTAGTTAGATAAAATCAGAGCGAGAAGCATAGGCCAGGTACAGAAGGTCACCAAGGTGGAAAACTTCAGGGGCCTAGCAATGGGCAAAGCTCTAAAAACAAAAACATCTTCCCAAGGGTAATCTTTCCTCTCTTAGCATATCACTGGTCATGTGGTTTAGACCCCCAGACCTTTCCTTCTTAGAGATGACATCTAGGCCTCAGTTGTGTGTTATCTCCAGGCCCAGAAAAGCAGGAAAACCAGACAAGCAACCCCATGGCTGTCTCAGGACCAGCTGCATTGAACACTAACCCTCTTTCCTGGTGCCAACCAATCAGTGGAGACCATGACCCTGAAAAGGCCCTGGATATTCTATTGAGATCCTCCCCTGGGATCTCCCCTAAAATTTCCACCCTTAAAAGTCCTTAGGACAAAAGGACACAGCACTCTCTCTGGGGGGGAGGGAGAACACCCACACCTTTCCTTTCCCCCTCTTCTTGCCCCCAGGCATGTTACTTTTATCTTCTTCTTTCCTAAGTTCCAAGGACTCTTCTTTTGCATCTGTAACTTGTTTTTTGACCCATTTTTTCTGCCTCTGTGCCTTTCTAAATAAATATTTTCTTATAGTTTGAGTCTTGGCTCTGAATTCTCTCCTAGCTAGAACCCAGGTACCAAGTTTGCTGAAACGAAATTCCAGTCTGACCCCAAGGGTCTAACACCTGGTGCCATTCTCACTGCCACCAACACAGGGAGAGTATTCAGCCATTGCATTTCCTGCATCACTGAATAAACTCCTTCAAGTGATCTGTATGAACATTTAGCTTTGCTGTTAGATCCCAGGAGTCTTATTTGAGGCAAGGGTTGTATATGAAGACAAACATAACTGAGAATCTCTAGGGCAGGGAAGCTCTAGCTTTCTAAGGATACCAGTCTTAGAAAGAGGAGAGGAGGGACATTCTCTTGGAATGTAAATACACCCAAAAAGAAATACTTGGTTGTTTTAAAGACTTTTCACTGTATCTTCAAAGCCAAAGAGAAAATTCAGAAGTCCCAGGGGAATGTAAACAGATGAGAGTACTGTGTTGGGGAAAATGTTCTCTAACAATAGTCAAGCTTTCTCCAAGTAGAGACTAGGGCGGGGGGGAATCAAACCTCTGCTGATGGCACAAAAAACTGGAATACTCAATAAGAAAAAAGGCATTTAAAGTTCCTGTATTGTGACTGTCACTGGAATTTGGCAGCAAATGATTAAGTACTAATTTAATGCTCCTTGCATAAAACACATAAAGTGCTCATTCTCCAAGTTACTGTAAACTTATTGATTAAGAAAGCTCCCATCTGGATGAGTTGGAAGCAGTGCCCTGTGGTGGAAGAAAAGACCTGAGCTTGAGGGTTGCTTATCCTCCTCTGAGCTGATGAATGCTAAGACCCTCACTGAACATCTCATGGCTTCCTTTTCCTTACCTAGAGTTATACACATGTGGATGTGCTTAGTAAATCTGCAAAGTCTTATGTGGATGTAAACTTTTATTTATTTTTTAAACAAAAGCCTCATTTAAGGATTGGCTGAGTGCATGTTCCCAGGGCAACACTAAGGCTCTATGGACAGGGATTCCAGCTGAGACAGGCAACTTAATTTGAATCCCTGTTCCTCACTTACACACAAGACACTTTGGAACAGTGACTTAGCCCTCTGGCTCAGTTCCCTCATAGGTAAAGTAGGAACAATGGTCATACCTATGACTTTGGATTGTGGTGAATAGAGAGGAACTCACACAGGAAAAACACAAATCATGATTTATAGTGTCCAATAAATGTGGGGCTATCCCCAGTAGTTGTAAAACTTCTGAAATATGGAAAGGAGTGGACTTGGAGGGATGTCTGAAGGAAGCTGGGAAAGCCCTTCCTGGGAGAGCTACTAACTGCAAGAGACCCCTCTAATGAACTGGCAGCCTCTCCTGTGGCCTACCTGACTCTGAGTCAACATGAGAGATCACTGCTCTTGTGTCCAGGCATATTTCTATGTGTCCATATCTACAGTAACGTAATTAACCATGGGCCAGCAAAGCTGGTGGCTGGAATTTGGGAAGGAACTTCATAGAATGTGGATTTTTTTCCAGGTATAAATACACTTGTCACAAATGTGCATTCACATCACACAATGGAGTTGGCATGCAAAGAACTTATCTTAAGATGGAGCACAGCTGAATTTGGGGTGGATGAAGGTGATAAGGAAGGGCAAGCAATGGATCTCAAATGTTGAGACTGCACTTGAAAGAATTTCTGGGCTGGGTAATCACAATAAGCTCTGGACTGAGGCACATTCCATTATGAGGTGGAGAGGGTTTATAATGGAATGACATGGATGGGTTCTTATAATCAGAAAAACACACTGACCTTCACACTACACAGGTGCAGCAGCATAATGACCCACCAGGTGTATGCGCATCAACTCCTGGGGAAAGTCCAATGAGGTTAACTCAGTGTGTATCCCAAGCAAACAAAATCAACGACATTACCCACATGAAGAACTAGGTGCCCCCACATCCCACCAAGATACCTGTCTTGGGCAACCAACATGTAAAAAGAAAAATTGCATGAGGATGATATGTATTTTGATAAAATGGACAAAATGTAGCAAGCAACATATTTTGTGTCATGAATATTTTTTAATCCCCACAGAGGACACGATTAGAGAGAGAAAAGGAGAGAGAGAGAAAGACATTGATGTGAGAAACATCAATGTGAGAGAGAAACATTGATTGACTGTCCTCCATACATGCTCCAACTGGGAACTGAACCCACAACCCAGGTATGTGCCTTGATCAGGAATCAAACTGGCAATCTTTTGGTGTACCAACTGAGCCACTCTGACTGGGCATGAATAATATAATTTAGATTTCAAAATATAACTTTAAGGAGTAAAAACATGGGCCTACATTTTTTTTTTCTTTTTAGGAAACCAAGATTTGGTATGGTATCTTTGGGGGGGGGG